TTCGATTGCGACGGGGCCAGCTCTGAGCCCTGGCTTGGGCAGACAGAGCACCACGCTGGGACCTGGAAATCGCAGGCTCCCTGTCTAGACCTGGCATCCATCTGCCAGGGAGTGACAAGCAAACGTTTCGGTGCCCCAGTTTCCTCATCGGTAAGCGGGGATGCTCCTGCATTCCTTTGCAGGTGTACGAAGCACTGCCACCCCCTCATCTTTTCTCCTTCCCTAGTGGCTTATATTGTGCAGTTTCAAAATACTGATAGTAACAGAGGGTTCTTTGTTCATCCCTGTGTCAGCAGCCACCCAGAGTAGAGCACATCCAGCTGGATTTCAGGTCTTCCACCCCTGAAATGGGTCTGGCCCAGCCCCTAACACCCGCAGCAGGCTGTTCACTGTCCAGACGTTAAGACTTGTTTTGGGGACATGGTCCGCCAGCTCACCTTCTAAATAATGCTGAAGAGCTACAAAAATAAACTCAGAAGCACTCATGCCTGATTGCAGGAACCCCTTTGTTTGTCAGTTTGCAGTGGGAAGGAAGTTCATATTTTAATTGCTACAGGCAATATCCTGGTAGGAGGCTGACTCTGGTGTTGCACTGCAGTAGATCTGATTCCCTTCTGCTCAGGCTCTTGTAGTCAAGCGGGAGGATGGTGTTTCTGCTCACACGTACAGGGCAGCAGCGTAAGCTGCAGACTTGCTTTTGGCAGCAGGTCTAGTTGGGGTGGCTGAAGCCTGGCTCTCTAGCAGGAATAGCTGAACAGGACACAATACCATTTTTTCTAACTCAGCCAGCCATATAAACCGCTACTGATTTCAGCTTATGATGTCTCAGAAGGCATCGTCTTCACTGCTGTGATACTAGGAGAGGGCAGAGTGGGCAGGCAGGAGTGTAGGAGCAACTCCTACACTGTAAGGCTCAGAGCAAATGCAAAGCAGTAGGCTAGTGTTGGAAGAAATGGTTAACGTATCGGGCGACTGCTGGAACCGCTCCACCAAAATCTGCCTAAATACAGTGGGAATACTACTTGCCCAGTGATGTGTGTGTGTTCACAGAGCGTATCTCATTAGCATGTTGTTAATGGCAGTAATTATTGATGACATGAATGCAGAAGCATACGTAGATAATATACAGCTACCAGAACTGCTGGGAGAAATGCATCCGTATTTTATTACAGATGCTAGCATGTCGGTGAATTTGATCTCTATACATCTGTTGGGATATACAGAGGTACCTGGCTGTGACAGTCACAAGAAACACAGTGACATTTGTGCCTTCAGGGAAAGGTGTTCGGGGAGCACAGTCTCGTACTTTGAGAACGAGACTTGTCTTCAAAGCTGCAGGTTATCTGAACGATGGCTGTGCTGCTGCGTGGATTGTATTTTATTTCCATGTATTAACACAAAGGTGTGACGTTCCTCCTCGCCTGTACTTAATCACTGTGGCTTGTAGATCCTTAAAATTTTCCTTCTTTGGCTTTGCAGTTTGAACTGGAGGGATGAGCGTACGACTTCACTGCCTAGGTGGGGGAGGACACGTATGCTACGCGTGTGTGGGCTTAATGTGGTAAAGCCAGGTTAGCAGCAAAGAGGGTGGGCTTGGGGACGGTCCCTGGGGGGGCAGAGCGCAGGGTCTGCCAGGCACAGACGCAGCTGCGGGGCTGGACGTGAGAGCGGCTCAGCTCGGTGCCCGCTGGCTGCGTAGGCCTATTCTGGCTGCTGTGGGGTTGGTACAAGATGTTTCCTTTCAGTTACACCAGGGTGAAGCGAGTGCAGCCAGCAAGCTCATGGTAAAGGCTTCTCGCCTGCAAGGTCTGCCTCTAGTTCAAAGCCCTTGTAGCGTATGCTCAGCCTGTGCTGGAAGGTAACAGCAAGCCAGGTGCACCACAAGTGGGGGAAGTCAGTGAGGTATCAATCGCTCACTTTCTACCCCCCAAAACACTCGCATGCACACAGCATAGCCCGCCCTCCCTCCAAGGAACCAAATCTAGCACGGACTCAACTGATCTGATGAGATTCCTGCCTGCCCATTGCCGGCACCCCAGAGCTCGGTCCCGCACTGCTTCCACTGCAACGCCGGCAGCAGGGCAGCACCCCGCTCCGAGCCCACCCTCCACCCTGTCCTGACGTGATCCCCTCTGCTCCTGTAAAGGGAACGATGCTCCTAGTCCAGACTTGGGCAGAGACCTGCCCAGTCTCCGTTCCTATTTACCACCTGGCCAAGCCAAGATTAAAACCCAGCCATCCTGCCTGCCGGTCCGGTGCCCAGTCTATCACACCCCGTTCCTCAGGAGTGCTGGCTGGCTCCAGCCTTACTGCCATGATTTTGCTGCCTGCTTTGCTTTGTGGGGTCCTGGAAAATGTGGCTGGGTGCTACCATGCAGCGAACGGCAGGGACGCAGGCTTGCGGTGCTGCAAACGGCCTCATCCCATAGCAGACTCAACTTCTTGCAGCAGGAGCGCTAAGCCCAGCTTTCAAGGATTTTCCTTTCTCCCTGCTCCTCTTCCAGCTGGGCCAGACCCCCCTTCCTCATCGCTTCCTCAGGCAGGACGGATCCTTGCTGCAGTACAGCCGTGGCAAATTCCCTCTCTGCCTGCACTGCTGAGAAGCCTTGAGCTGGCTCTGACTCGCTGACTGCCAGTTTGCGTTGGCAGCCAGGCGCTAGGCACCGGGCTTGCCACATCAAATGAAAAATATCATGCAACCAAAAATTCTTAGAAAAACCCAAATGCATCTAATCTGCCGAATAGGGTGCACAAGACGTAGGCAACAAGATCAAGTCAGGGCAGGGCAGGAAAAGGCAGGAAGGATGGACAAGGGAAGGGTGTTGTAAAAAAGATGTATTTTATATGTAAAATTTCAGGGCAGTATTTTTTAACAATTTGCATAATTGGCAACCACAGATAATCCCCTGAAATGAACTAAATATATCACAACTGGGGGCTTTCCAAGCCCAGTTTGCTTTCTGAAATTGATTGGTTTCAGCTTTGCATTTTTTTCTATGGTCTTTCTTTCTATTATTACCAGCTGAATTTGGCTGGTTTCTAAAATGCCTGATTTGGGAGCAAAACTGAACATTCACCTGGGGATGGCTCACTACGGTGTGAGTTTGAGTCAATGAAAATGTGACTTAATTTTAGATTTTGTTAGGAAAAGGGAACTAAGGCAGAAAACAGCTGCTAAAATGACAGATGAAGGCAAACTTGTTCTAATACTTTTCATAAGAAGTCAGGTGAAACTACATTTAAATCTCTGTTGGCCTAAATTGTTAGCTGAGGCAAACTGGGCTGGCTCCACTGGAGTCAAATCTGGCCCAGCTGCTCTGAAATGGAGACACTTCAAAGCCATAGCCACTTCTGGAAATTTTCTCCTAAATGATTTGCCAGAAGATGTAGTGAATTGCTTGCTAAATGCTTGTTTACAAATTTCTCTCTCTTCATCCGTTCATACCTCTTCCCAGTCACTTCTGTGTTCTGTTCTGGAAGCCACCGAAGCGAAGGGCTTCCCTACATCCAACCGTTTCTCTCCTTGGTTAAGGAACTCCTGTCATTAAATTGATATATATCCCAGGAACAGGCACGCTCAGATACAGAAGTGATGGATATAGTGTAAACCCAAACAGTATCAACAGTCACACTTTTATTTTTGTTTAAATAGACAATTGGTCCAAACTGTACCAAAAGCCGCTCCAATAAAAGGGATTTAAGTCAATGAAAAAGCTATACTTTGACCTTTGAAGCAGCAAGCTTTCTTCTTCAGAATTCTCATGTATATCATGACTGGATATATCTAAGCATTGCTGAGGTTCAGTATTCGGATGATATCACTCCAAACTAATTAGTTGTACTCAAAAGTCTGACCAAGTCAGAAGAAAGGGAATGCAGTGGTTGCCAGTAATGGGAAAGATATTAGGAAACACGTCCCCTGGGTCAAATGTTAAACTCGTACTCAACCAAACTTCCCTTCAATTCAGTGAAAGCATTTTTTCGAAGTTAAGAATGAATAAGATGTGAGAAAGGAGAGAGAGCCAGCTAGGGAGGGAGAGAGCAGTCTTGTGTTTAAGCATGGGACCGAGACCAGGAAATCCTCAGCTCTCCTGCCCGCTGGACCAGGGAACGGCCGAACGAGCGGGAAGACGCCTCGGCTCCCCGTGCCTGCGGGCTCTGATTCACGTGCGCTAGAGCAAACATCGGCGATGGGCCGTCGTGCTGCGTCCCCGCGGCGATCTGCCCCGCCGCTGCCGTGGCAGCCGATGAAGCTGTGCCCTGCTCGGCTGCTGCGCCCCGCGGCCTGACCTGCTCGCACCGGTCCACCTTTATCAGCAGTTTAAGTGCGTATGATGGACCATAAACTGGGCCGTCTCCTTCTAAAGCAGCAGGGACTTCTGGCAAGCACGGACCGTGACACCAAACTGCCGTGGCACGCTTTCCTAGCCCTTGCGTGCCAGAGCCCTTGTTCCTTCCTGCTAGGAACAGTTTGCAATATCTCTCCGCTTTAGGGAAAACTGGATGTGAAATATAACAGGTTAGGATGCTTGAAGTGCTTTGAAATCCTCAAACCAGAAAGTGTGAAATACTGTCTTCAGTCCTTCTCACACATGCACAAAATGGTACCTGTTTTTCATTTTATTTGGGGGATTTCCTACAGCAAATTATATAGTTATTTGCTCATTGGATTGGGTTTTCAAGTCCTTCATGTATGTTAAGCAGTTTCATTTTGATGTTACTGATGACACTTGTAGTTGCAGTATGACCAAGGAAGAAGATGGCTTAGCTCTTGGTAGATCAAAATTGGACGGAAGGTAGATATAAAATAGAAGACACAGAAACCAGTGTAGAAAAGGTTCTGACCATGCTTGTTGACAGCCTTCGGGGCCAGGCCCACTGCTGGTGCAAAGTGACGTAGATAAAAACTTTCTGCAGCAAAGAGCTGCCGGGCATGCCCCTGCTGA